AGGACAGACAGACAGAGAAACCCTGTCTCAAAAAAAAAAAAAAAAAAAAAAAAAAAAAAAAAAAGAAAGGAGGAAGGGAAGGAGGAGGAAGGGTGGGGATATGAAGAGCCCTTTCTACAGAATCACTGCAAAAAGACCTTCACTTCCAGGCAAATGGCAGGGTCAGTGGGTTTATTGCTGGTGTGAGGTGATGGCACCTCACCAGGGCCCAGATGCATTAGATTAAGACAGTGGGATAGGTGACAACTGGAGAATTGGTGAGACATAGTTCTGTTTCCTCATTAGTTGAGGATGTGTTTAATTTCACTTAAAAGCAGCCAGACATTCTTGGGCCAGGGAGGTGGCTCATGGGGAAAGGTGCTTGCTGCCAAGCCTGCAAACCTGAGTTCAATTCCCAGGATCCACACGGTGGAAGGAGAGAACTAACTCCTGCAGGTTGTCCTCTGATCTCCACACTCACGTTGTAGTATGCACAGATACACACTCACAAAATAAATGTTTAATTTTCAAAACTTTTTGTTTTTTGAGACAAGGTGTCTCTGTGTTTAAATTTTTAATTCTTGTTTTTTTTTTCTTCAACTTTTTTGTTTTTAGCAATCACCGTTTTTGTTTTTTGTTTTTTGTTTTGTTTGTTTTGTTCTAATTTAAAGTTACAGATGCTTGTGAGCTACCATGTGGGTACTGGGACTTGGACCCAGGTCCTCAGAAAGAGCAATCAGTGCTTTTAACCTAGAGCTCCTTAAAACTTTTTTTTTTTTTTTTAAGTAGCCATTCCTCAGGCTTCTACCTTAGGAGGGGTAATGGTCAACTCCTCCCAGGACATCCTTATTGGTAAAGACCTCATGGCCCTGCTGGTCCCACTTGATGTCACCTCTCTTGTCTCCAAAGACCTCAAACTTGTAAGAGCAGCTGGGCTAGGATGGGAGAAGGTCTGTCTCCATCACCCTTCTATCAGTGAAGAAGAGAGTTGGGTTTCCCAAGACACCAGAGTTTCCAAGGTGCCCCATGGCAGGAAGCAGCCTACCCCAGATGCTGTGCACACCAGACTTTCCTGATATTACTCTGTCTTTCCCCAGGATGCACCAGCACACTCGGACACCTGCCACCTCTTCCTTCTGTGCAAAAGCAAAGCCAGTGGCAACCCCAACGCTGATAAGATTAATCTGTAGGGCCGATTATGGTGTAATTTCCTATGCTGAAACTTTGTAGATTTTTTTAAAAAAGGGTTTCATTTTCCAATTGGTCTGATTTCACAGGAAAATTTACCTGTTTCTCTGAGGCATTTTTTCTCCTGGAAGAGAGGTGCTGATTGGCCCAAAATAACTGACAATCTGGTGTAACAAAAATTTCCAATGTAAACTCACTTTCCCTTGGTTTCAGCAATTTTAACTCTATATATAGAGATATCTCTGTCAGAATTGCATTGTTAGCGTCTCTTGATAAACTTAATTGTCTCCCATCACTGACGGTAGAGATCTATTGATGGGTCTCAGGCCCCAGCTAGCTGCCATCCTGCTCTGCCTTCTAGCATGTACCGGGAACTGGACCCACGGATGCCACAACGGAGCCTTGAAAGAGATCATCCACATTTTGAACCAGGTCACATTAAAAGGGGTGAGCACGCTATCTGGCACCATCTCCTCAGATGCTCAGGTGATGCTGCCGCCGCCTGCGGTTCTAGTCTAGAAGAACTGAGTTGATGGAGAGGTCGGTGGCTGGTGGTTGGAGCAGGACTAGGGGCATAGCCAGACTTCATGAGACCCTGCTACTTCTGACTTCGAGGCTTCAGGGAGTTTTTATGGGATGAGGGGATGAGAGGTGTGTTGACGATATCTCTGTCCTGCCTGGATGTAATTCTTATCTTTCCATTTTGTCCGTGTCAAGACACCATGCACCGAGATGGTCGTACCAGATGTCCTTTCAGCAAGGAAGGTAAGCGGAGCCCTGGTGTCTGCTTTAGCATATGTGACAGGTGGGAGAGGAGGCTTCCCCACCAGTGTCTGAATGAGAAACTTCTACAACAGAAAACTAGCGGGCCCCAAGGAGGCATTTTCATACACCGTGGAGACTGAGTTATGCTCCAGTGTAGTTTGCAGTTTCGGATTTCACTAGACTTAGAAGACATGTCATAGAACATCTGGATCTGTTCATACTAACCCAGGGTTCAGGGGTCCCTAGAATCCTACCCACCCAGTCTTGGCGCAGTACCTGGAACATAGGAGATAATTTGTGCCTGTTGAATGAGAGAATTATCTCTCTCCTCTCTCTCCTCTCTTTCTCTCTCTTCATTTGGCCCATGCATTTCTGAAAACCAAATACTCTTTCAGAAACAGATATGGAGATTACAGGTTGAGAAGGGCTTTCACTTTGTCTAAGAGACTTCCTACGGTCCCTCCAGATCTCCCCTTTCTCAGCCTGGTCACACAGCAGCCAGTTGGGATGGTGGCCCTCTGTGTGGATCCTCAGCTCACTCTGTCCCACCCTAGTCCCCTTCAGCCTAGTTTAGAACTGTCCTCTGGCTGGAATCTGACCATCCCTGCTTCTGCCCTGGCATCTATCTCCCCTCTCTGCCTTCTGCACGGCCTCACCCCCACCCCTCCATCTGGAGTGGGAGGGGACAGATGTGACAGCTGATAGTGCATTTTCTCTGACAAACACATGACTGGCTACCTCTGTATCAATAGCTCTGTGCACTTCAGTTCCTGTTTTCATGGAAACACACAAGTGAGAACGAAAGCCCCAGAGCCTTGATTTACCAGTGGTCTCCCGACTGCCTGCTTCCCACGTGTGCTGAACAGGGGTGAAGTCAGGACCGAAGCTCTGTGGGGTAGTTAGGGTCATAGCCCGGCACCCAGGCCATGAACAGGCTTCCTCCTGATTCACAGGGGAACTGCCTCATGACTTTATCTGGATGGTCTCATTTCATTCAGGATTACTCCAGAATGAGTTTCTGAAGGACAAATGTACATTTATGTATATATGTAAACATTCACATGTATATATATGTGTGTTTATGTGTACATATATGCCTACCTACATATATATGTGTGTGCATATCTATAACTATCTATCTATCTATCTATCTATCTATCACTGTTTTATATCTATGTAATCTTAAGTATTTACTGATTCTCTGAGTCCTTCCAACTCAGATGGCAGCTGCCTTAGCAAAGCCCAGTGCAGGGACCAGCTCCTGAGAACTGGGCCTAGAGGAAGCGCCAGGCCTGGGTGAGAGAACCTTTGCTTTTGGCTGCAATTCTGCCATTCACTGGCTATCTGGCTTTTGAGAGATCTTCCTGTATTTTGGAGCCATATTTTGGAGCCTCAGTGTCCACATTTGGAGGTCATATGAGGGTTGGGTGGAGGCCAGTCCTAGGAATGTAATTGAAAGTGTTTGTGTAAGGTTCTAGGACTCAGACCAAGTGCACAGCCCAGCTGCAGAGAAGTGATGAGTCTAGGGAGAGCCATCAGCTGGCCAAGTCTCCATGGCTCCAAGCCTGAGCCTACTCAGTGTAGCCTGCGTCTAGAGAGAGCACTGTGTGTGCTCCGCTCCCACCCCTACCCTCATGCTGGCTTTGCTCTTTCTCAGTGTGCCCCAAAACTTACATGTGCTCAAAAATAAGCCTTCCCTGGCTGTTGTCGCTTCTGTTTCCTGGGCTTTCCCCCACATGCTTCTGCCCCCCCCGGGTTTTTGCCCCCCCCCCCCCCCCCGCTCTTGTCTGTCCCCCAAGACTCAACATTGCTTACTATCATAGTGTGGAATTTCTGACTAGGGGAAGGTTATTCTCTAGAGCCCACAAAATTGTCTTGAGAGGAACCACTTCTTTGGGGTTCCCAAGAGACTACCTTCCCAATATCTAGTACATTTATTTTAACTTTTGGGGGGATCAAAGTGCCCAGGTGGTGGTAGGAAGAGTGCTCTGAGATAAATCCCTGGTGTCAAAGACAATACTGGCTGGGGAGGTGGTCAGCTGGCTGTTCTGTGAAGGGCCTCTCGGTGCCCATCAGTTTGGGTAATTACTCTTTTCGAAAGAGAATTATAGAAGCCCTTGCAATGCTCTGAGGGTGCGTGCATGCGTGTTCATGCTTGTGTGTATGTTCACATGTATTCACACACATGCATGAGTGTGTGCTCGTCCACATAGTGGCACCCTCTATATTGTTGTCTTTTTACTTTTTAAAGACAGTTTCTCATTGGCCTGGAGCTTGGCAAGTAGGCTGGGCTGGCTGGTCACTGAGCCTCAGGGACCTTCCTGTCCCTGCCTCTCCAGCCCTGGGATGACTAAGATCCACCTTTTAAAAAATCCAGCCTTTTAAAAAATGCATGGGTTCTGAAGATTTAACTCAAGTCCTCACACTTACAAGCCAAGCACTCTACCCACTGGGCCATCTCCTCTAGCCCTGTTTGTTTGTTTGTTTGGTTTGGTTTGGTTTGTAAGACAGACAGGATTTCTCTGTAACTTTGTAGTCTGTCCTGAAACTTGCTCTGTAGACCACCAGGCTGGCCTCGAACTCACAGAGATCCACCTGCCTCTGCCTCCCAAGTGCTGGGATCAAAGGTATGCGTGCCACCACCACCTGGCTGGTTTGTTTATGTTTAAAAGATTACCTCATCTAAAGCACTGGCTGATTAGATTTGGGGCCCAATTAAAGATAAAGAGATGCAGTAGGGATAGGACTAAATTCTCTTGGGCCTAAACGAGGCTGGTGGAGGCCTGCTGGGGACCTGAAACAGATGTTGCAACAGAAGACACCTCCTAGGTAGCCATTTCCTGCACTCTTGTGAACCACAGACTTGCTTGTGGTGAGGACTGAGGTGTAAGCTTGGCTGACTGTGTGCTTGCTCCCTGAGCCACAGCTAGGCCTGCCAGGCAGGACTTTCTCAGGCGGAGACACACAATCAAGCAAGGTGGCATGTCATCCTTGGCCACCAAGTCAGTGGAACTAAAACTTGAAAGTCCCCGCTCAAGTTGCCTTTGAGACAAGTTCTTCTGAAGAATCACCACTTGGTGAAGTCTCTTTCCAATTCCATCTTTAATCTCATTATTTTTTAGAAGCTACATACTGATAAACTGAGTGTGGTGGCACATACTTTTAACCCCAGCACAGGAGGGAGAGGCAGGCAGATCTCTGTGAGTACTAGGCCAGCCAGCCAGGAATGCACTGTCTCAAACCAACAAAACTCTAGTTAGATTTCTCTCTCTCTCTCTCTCTCTCTCTCTCTCTCTCTCTCTCTGAGCCCTCACATATGCTAAGCAAGTGCTCTACCCTTGAGTTTGCCTCCAATCCTGATATTTACCCAAATAATAGCAGAATAGGAGTTACCTCTCACTGGTGGGATAAGTGAATTCATTTTTGATAAGTATACTGTAATAGTCAGGAAAAAAATGAGGCAACCGTGAAAAGTGAAAACAGCTAAATGCTGCTTGGGCAACACGTTGCCTGTCAGCTCCCCTGGTGTTATCATAGCACATCCTGGCTCAGTTGGCCATGAGAGTCACTAACAAGCTCCTGGTGATGTCAGACTTCCGCTGTGCAGGCTGCGGAGTAGCCAGGGTCGTGTACACATCAGGGCATAGGCAGAGGCAGCTCTTGCCTGTCTTCTGAGTCCTTGGGAAAAGTGAGGTGCTCTTATCTCTACCAATGACGAGCAGAGAAGCCTCAGAAGCCCCAGCGAAGGCCCAGGTCAATGGTGCCCTCTCCCAGGAGCCCTTCCTAACCCCTAGCCAGGCTCCTGGACATCTTGCCCACACTGGGCTCCTATATCTGGCTTTCTGGGGGAACATGCCTTAATTCTCCATGGGACTACGAGCATCTTCAAACACCGCATTGTCCTTGAGTAGGGCGGCATGGAGCAGCAGGCACTCAGTCATCAGCAAACATGAAGGGTCTCCAGGACCATATAGGAATAAGAGCCACAGCTGGCTAAAAGCTCGTGTAGGCACCTTGGGCAGGAAGGAAAGCACACAGGGTAGAAAGATGGGACCTGAGGATGCAGACAGGTGCTCCCTACTCTGCCATTTTCCTAGCTGTGTGACTTTACTGAATAAAACCCTCCATGGAGAAGAACCTGGGAGATTCTGCAGAAATACTTTCATATAGATTCCAAGTTTAGCAGACCCACCTTTGGGATAGGAAAATCTCCCGCTCAAGTTCAAACCCAAGCAGCTGACAGCTTCTTGCATCATTTCTCTTTGCAGAACTCTACAGAGAAAGACCTCATCTGCAAGGCTTCCCAGGTGCTTCGCAAATTTTATTTCCCAGGTGAGGTGACTCTGTGCTTGAAGAACAATTCCAGGGTTCTCAAAGACCTGAGAAAACTCTTCAGGGGCATCAGTGGCCTGTTTCCAGAGGTAAGCAGGGCAGGACAACAGCTTACAAAAAACTTGGCACTGTGGGAGCAGCACTAAAGACCAGCAGAGCTCTTGCTCTCACAGAATGTTCTAGTGGAGCAGTGAGTTAGAAGAGGCAAACAGCAATGCGATGCCCTGTAGTGTCCATGCTATGAAGAAAGACTTAGAAATTAAGAGAGTGGGTGGCTGGGGAAGGGCTGATATTTGGATTAAGCAGGTATTTGTATTAAGTGAGGAAACCGGCCATGAGACTAACAGACAAATGCCTGGGTAAAATGCATGTGTTCTAGTGTGGCTGGATCCCAGTTTAAAAAGTAGGTTTAAGCCAGATGGTGATGGCACATGCCTTTAATCCCAGCGTTAGGGAGGCTGAGGCAGGTGGATTTCTGAATTTGAGGCCAGCCTGATCTACAGAGTGAGTTCCAGGACAGCCAAGGCTACACAGAGAAACCCTGTCTCCAAAAAGAAAACAAAGAAGCAGGCTCAGCAGCTGGGTTCACACAAGTTTTTGGAAGCTGTCCCAAGGATGGACGTTACCTAGAGTTACCGACAAGGTGGAGCCCATGGTGTGCACGGAGTGATATTTGTTCACATTGGCCCCTGAGTGGAAGGGGGCATGTCAGTACGTGGAGAACAAGGTAGCCTGATGGAGGGCCATCATCACATGACCAGGACAGTGATGACAGTAGCTTGTACAGGGCAGGAACAAGGAGGAGGCTGGATTATAAGTGATGGATAAACTTGGCACTACCACTCCGCAGTGGTCCTCAAGGGAAGGATCCAAAGTTTCTGTAAGCAAGGTGGCTGATCTAAGCTATGTAATGAATAACTGATGGCACTGAGACCCACAACGCAGCATCAGCATGGAGGGTGGTTCCTAGACTCCTTGTTACGTGCAGTGTCCCCGCTCTGAACTGCATCTGCTTCCTGGGCAGGAGGGAAGTGAGACCTCCATCTTGCTCCACAGACCAAGTGGCACCCCAAAGGCAGACCAGTAGTGACTAGTGCACATGCCAAAAAAAGCAGGCCGAATCTTGCTAGCCTCATGAAAGTCAAACTCAGGTCTGGAAGTCTGGGTTTGAACATTGCTTTGGAGGCTACCAGAGTCAGCCTGGGCGAGCACACAGGCCTGGTAGTGAGACCCACGCATATATTCATACAATGAAACGTTTCTTTTGTAGAAGAGCTGCAGTGTGAATGAGTCCACGTACACAACACTGAGAGACTTCTTGGAAAGCCTAATAAGGATCATGCGAAAGAAATACTGGCAGTGTGGAAGTTCTGCGTTTTAACTTATGACTTTTTAATGGTTTATTTTTTTAATATTTATATATTTATAATTCATAAAATAAAATATTTGTGTAATCTAACTGCAACGGCCATTAATGGTACTTCATTTGGCAATGAGGTCATAGTTTATACTACTACAGAAACCAGTATAATTTCCAGTGTGGTGGTGTGAGGACACAACAGAAAGCAGGCTTCCTTCTCTAGGAGTTCCACTTCTCATCAAGGACAGAATGCACAAGATCACTAAAGGATAGAAGGGGGGCTGGAGGCGGTGGAGAGATGGCTCAGTGGTTAAGAGCACTGACTGCTCTTCCAGAGGACCCAGGTTCAATTCCCAGCACCCACACGGCAGCTCATAACTGTCTGTAACTCCAAGATCTGATACAGACATACAAACAGGCGAAACACCAATGCACATAAAAAAAAAATTATTAGAAGGGGGGCTGGAGAGATGGTTTGGTGACTAAGAGTACTTGTTGTTCTTCCAGCAGACCCAGGTTTGATCTCCAGCACCCACATGGCAGCTTAAAACAGTAACTCTAGTTCCAGGGGATCTGATGCCCTCTCTGGACTCCTATGGACGCATGCATATGGTACACAGACAACACTCATGTAGGCAAAACACACATACACATAAAAACAAAATAAATATAGAAGAGCCAGGGAGGTGAATCTGTAGGTAGGAGAGAACTGACTCAATGGGATTATTCTCGGACCCCCCCCCACACACACACACTCTAGCACACATGCATACATGCACACACAATAAGTAACGAAAACAGCAGAAGCAAAGAGGCACGGCACCGTGCCCACCTGAGTCAGCAAAGGCTGCAGTTGACTAAACAAGAGACAGATTTTTTTTTTTTAATTTTTTTTAAAGGGCAGGGAATCGGTGGCACATACCTACAATCCAGTTTGAGGCAGGCCAGCATGGATCCCCAGAACCCACATAAAAGACAACCAGTTCTACAAAACTGCCCTTGACCTCCACATGGGCATCATATGTACAAATATCATCATAGCATATTAAAGAAAAACAAGAAATTTTTTAAGTGTTTAAAACTGTTAACATAATAGAACTATAAAAACTTTACAAAAAAATTTCACAGGGAAGCCAGGTATGGGGTGTTGCCTTAGATCCATGGGATACTGTAGCGGTGTAAATGAGAAAGGCCTCCAGGGGCTCATGTGTTTGAACATTTGGTCCTCAGTTGGTAGAACTATTTGGGAAGGGTTAGGAGCCGTGGCCTTGTTGGAGGAGATGTTTCACTGGGGACAGGCTTTGAGGTTTCAAAAAGCCCAGGCCATTCCCAGTGTGCCTCTCTGCTTCCTGTTTGTGGGTCACAGCTATCCCTGCCACCATGCTTCTGCTCTGCCATCACGGACTCTAGCCCCCAGAAACTTCAAGCTCCAAATTAAACACTTTCTTTTCTGAGTTGCCCTGGTCACAGTGTCTTATCACAGCAAGAGCAGGAACTAAGACAGTGAGCTCCGAGACAGGACAGGGAGACTGTTTAGGAGCAGGAGGAACTGGTTAGCTGTGGTGGCACACACTTTATTTCCAGCACTCTGAGGTACAGGCAGGTGGATCTGTGTGAGTCTGGGACCAGCCTGGCCTATATAGTGAGTTGCAGGCCAGTCAGAGCTACAAAGTGAAACCCTGTTTCGAGAAAAAAAAAGAAAAGAAAAGGAAAGGAAAGGAAAGGAAAGGAAAGGAAAGGAAAGGAAAGAAAAGAAAAGAAAAGAAAAGAAAAAGTTACTAGGCAGGGGAAATGGCTCAGTGGTTAAGTACTTACTGCTCCCAATAAAGGGACCAAGTTGGTTCCCGGCACCCACATGGTGGACCACAATTGTCTGTAACTCTAGGGGATTTGACACCTCTGGCTTCTGAGGGCACTAACCTCACCAGCACATGTCCACATGCACACACACACACACATTTACACATAATTTCAAAGAATAAAAGTAAATTTTTTTATAAAAATAAATTTTAAGAAAATGTGTTATGCCCAACCTGAATAAATGAGATTTTGCCTCAACTCTGCACCCTCCAAAAAAAAACATGAAGTAAATGTTAATTTTTCAATAAGGAAATCAATATGTAATATCTAAAGTTGATAACTAAGAAAACAGTTGAAGTCATGAGTTAGGGCTGGAGAGATGACTCATTGGGTAGGAACACTGGCTCCCATTTCCAAAGGGCCGGGATTCAAGTCCCAGCACCAGATGGTGGCTCACAACTGTCCCGAAACTCCAGTTCTGGGCACCTGACACCCTTTTCTGACCTCTGTGGCCGCTGCATGCAGAATGCAGGCAGGCATGCAGGCAACAAACGCACACACATACATTAAAAATGAATAAATCTCAAAAAAGTGTAGCGAGTAGACATGAGTTACTGACGGTTGTGGCGGGGACAGGTCACGGGTTGGACTGCTTTGTTTTCACACACATTTTAAAGTTTTCTTAATAAGAAATGAAGAAAAGTAAAGAATGAATTAAGAAATCTTTGAATGTATGGTGACAGCCACTGGAAGAACAAAAAACAAAGGGAAGGGGCAAGAGAGATGGCTCAACGGTCAAAAGCATTGACTGCTCTTCTCAAGGACCCAGGTTCAATTCCTACTGACCACACGACAGCTCACCACTGCCTGTAACTCCAGTTCCAGTGGCTCTGACTCCCTCATGCAGACATGCAAGTCAAACCCCAACACACATAAAAAAGTCGGGAGGAATGGAATGGTACTTGGGCTAAGGAGGGATGAAGCAAAGCTGGGAGTGGCTATTGGTTGGCAGTCAGTCCATTTTAAGTGTGTGTGTGTGTGTGTGTGTGTGTGCACATGCGCACGCGCGCGTGCACGCTGGCACATGCCCCATCCATGTTGGCAGTCAGTCCACTGTGTCTGTCTCTGTGTGTGTGTGCACGTGCTCGAGGGCAAGAACCCCTGTCCATGTGCATAAGAGATAAATTTTTGTTTTGTTTTGGTGATCCAGGTTTGATTCCCCCCCACCCCCAGGGCTGAGGACAGAACCCAGGGCCTTGTGCTTGCTAGGCAAATGCTCTACCACTGAGCTAAATCCTAAATGTCCAGGTTTGATTTCTAACACCCATGTGGCAGCATACAACCATCTG